AATGGGAAGACACTTAGAGGAAGTTAGCAGGAACCATGAGGAGTAGGACAGAAATAAATCAGGCATTAATACCAAAAGGAAACAGGTAGATGTAGAAGATGTGGAGTGGTGAAGTAAAAAACGATAATTTACAAGAATTGTTAAGTCAATGATATATCTTGGACAGCTATGAGTGGCCTTCCAATTAATTCTCTTTGTGCACTGCAGAAGTGATTTCATTTAGTGTAACTTTCTATGTGTCCTAATGATGAGCCTTATCAACTGAAAGTGTTTCTGTTCCTTGAAAGCTAAATGAACTTAATGTCCTAATTCTTGAATAAATTTAACAAACGCAGTGTGTGAATTTAATTTATATGTTTGTCTAGGTAGCTTTGCTACATCATGTGATCATTCTGTTATATACCCACCAATGAAACACATATCAGTTGTTAGAAGAGAGTAAGAACTACTGGAAAACTGTCATCACATTGATAAAAGAAATGAAAACTGAAGAACAACACACAGTGGGCCAATAAAAACCCTCTAACATGAAGAAACTATCATTTCCCCTCCATGTTACATATAAACTACTGGAGAAAAGCAGCTAATAAATCAAAAGTATGACCAAACTATGTATTCCATTTTTTTTTCAGATAAATTGCATGTGAATTAGAATCCTAACCTGCTACGGAGTTGGGCAGAATTGGAAGTGGAGAATTTGCCCCCAAATGTGCTAGTGCTATTACCATAACACAGGGGGAAGATATGCCAGGCGGGTACAAACAATGGTCAATTTGTACTTCACTAGGTACAGGGAATAAAAATATAGGTCATTAAATAGTATGCTCCAGGAAAATTTGTAAAGACTAAAGCAGTAAGATTGATGGTCATTAAACAGAGTTTCAAAGGCAAAGTACAGAGCTGAAGATGTAATGACGGTAATGGTTAGATGTTTGGAATGTGTAATAATAAAAACCTTTTTTGTAGTATTGGAATGATGATTACATGTAAAATAATTAGTATGTTTCTAAATATATTTGGCAATAAAACAAAATGCACTTTTATAAAAGGTAGCCCATTCTTCTTTTAAGGAGGAAATTGCAATTTAATGTGAATTTTAAAATATATTATTTTTATTTTACTTTTAAATTATTATTTTATGAACCAGTTCCATAAGCTCTGGGATTTCTTCTCCTCTTCCCCTCCCCACAATGCGTAGTCCTTCATGAATATTAATAAGTCCATTGTTCCACCATTTTAACATGAATTTGACCTCTAATCAGTGTTTATTGAGAACTGAGAACTGTTTTTGAGATCTGTTAATGTTTTTTGATTACTAATCTCCCCCATGGTGGAAAAGCTTGGTGATCAAATGGTGAAGTTGAGTGCTCTCATGCCTCTCCATCATACAGCTCAACATTTTTTTAAAAATTATTTTTAGTTTTGATGTTGATTTACATGGTTGATTAGGGTGGGAAGGGTTGAAGATTCGGGGAAAGTGGGTGAGACTACTATTTGTATACCTTCCTTATCTTCTTCCTGTATCTGGAAAAAGGGGGGAAAGAAGAGGAGAAGCCATACCCATCCTCCCAACTGCCTCAGTACTGGGGGTTTGGGAATGGCCACCTGATGTCATTGTATGGTCTCCAATGGGAACCCTGTTCTGAGGGTTCTGTTCAAGTGGTTTCAGTAGTTCTAAAATGTTGTTAATCTTGCCAATTCAAGGATGAGGAAATCCTTCTAGGGTCCATTGACTGACATAGTCCACCTTAGTGTCTCATTCACCCAGATATTTGCTATCAATGCTTGGCTGCTATAGTTGACCAATTTGTTCTGCCCTCCTTCCTCTGCAATGGTACCAGATGGTTTCCATAAGCTCCAATGGACTGCCAAATCTTCCATGTGCATCTGGGTATGCCATATACTGCACCATCTTCAGTAACTGAGGAGATCTCATTCAGACACATGCATTCCACTGTCAAATGACAGGTCCTGCCACTCTCCACATAATTGGAATCCTGAGTCCTGTGGTTCAGTGGATCTGGCTCATTCTGTCACCCACATCAGCCTACACAAACACTGATGGTTGCAATTGCTAGGTCAGATTTATCTCCAGCCCTATCTCTTACACAAACCAGTGGGTGCTACAGCCCAGCCAACCCTGCCCACCATACACTCAGCCCTCATATACACCATTGGGAACTGAAGCCCAGTCAGATTGACTCCCCCACCCCACCAAAAAACCCTACCAGTCCCACCCTACCCCTGGTTCCTGTGCTGCCAGCCTGTGCAGTGGAATGCTGCGGAAAAGCCCGATCAGCCTGAACTTTTTCTGGCTCATGCCTGTACCAGTGAAACAGTCAGTTAGCCCAGCCTGCGTTTCCCCCAACCTAGTTCACATGCTGGCCAACAGGTGTTGTAGCCCTACTCAACCTGGTCTACCTCAGAATGCTCTGAAATCTACCAGCAGAAGCAGTGGCCCAGTAGGGGAGGCCCCACATCTCCCCTACAGGGCTTGTATCCCCATTCCTAGGTCTCATGTGTACTGGTAGGTGCTGCAATTCAGTCTGCCATGGTTCATCTTATCTTCGCTTATGTTGGCAGGTGCTGTAGCCTGGCCTGGCCTGGTCTGCCTCCAGTTCCAGCTTGTGCTGGCAGATGGTGTGACCCAGCCTGGCCCAGCCAGTCCCCAGTCCTGGCCCTAATGTGAACAGACTGGTGTTGCAACCTGACCTGTACTGAACCCAGTCCTTGTTCTCAGATCTGACAGTGGGTGTTTTGAATTGGCCCAGCATGGCCTGCCCCCAGAACTGACCCATACATATGTCAGTGGGTACCATAACCTGACTGCTCCTTGCCTTGGTTTTTGCACTCACATGCAGGGATTTTGTCCTGGCAAAGAGTTCCCCAATCTCCTCTATTGGGTCTTGGCCCCATGGCAGATCTCGGTGGGTCCTTGGCCCAGACTGACTTAGTCTACCTTCCTGTCCTGTAGGAACAGTGGCCTTGCCCTAGCAGCCCTCACTCATTCTGGCTCCTATTGCTGGGTACTATATCCCAGCTACACCTGGTCCATGTCCAGATACAGCTATTGTGTGGTTCAGGCAGAGCTGAGACCTAGCCCAACCTGTTCTACACTAACCCTGGCTCTCACAAGCACCAGTTGGTGCTGGGGTCACCTCAGCACACCCCAGCTCTTAAGTAAACCAGCAAAAATTGCAGTTTCACAGTGGTAAACCCATATATTCCTGCATGGAATCTGCTCCCAGACCTGATTCTTTTATGTGCTGATTAAGTGTCATGACCCCAGCATAACATTATTTGTCCCCTGTTATGGCATTCAATGGTGGATAGTGTGAGCTAGCCCTGCCAGATAGGTCCCCAGCCCTAGCTTTATTGTGCACCAGTGAGTGGTATTTGGTAGTGGTCAATGTTAAGTACCCCAGCTCAGGTCTCCCACATGTGTTGGTGGTTCAGTCTGACCCTTAAAGGTCTTCCTGTTTCTTCCTCCAAACTGCTTGGTTTCAGTCCGCTCATTTACCTGCAAGTACAGTGGCCTTGTCAATGGAAATCCCTCAGAAACCTTCCTTCATCTGGTCCTAAGCCCTACATCCACATACGCCCTCTCCACCCCTATGCCAACCCCACAACCATAGCAAACCCATATTCCTAAGTCCCCAGAGTGCACTGCACGCATGCTGGTCCAAAACAACAAAAAACAAAAAAACCCAGGCTGTAACATCCTGGGGTCTAGCCAGGCTTCCCTGCCTCCTTGGTTAAGCTACCCAGCTGCCTGTAGGCATGCCAGTCCAAAAAGACCCAGGCCAAGGTGGCCCCGGACCTCTTTGGGCTTTGCCGCCTCTGGCATTCACAGGTTAATACTTTTAAAGAAGTCAAAGCTGGTTTCATCTTATTACATCAATGAATTTTATACATGTGACATCATCCTAGTTTGATATCTAAATATATTTGCATGTAATTCAAGGTCATATGGTTCCCTATTTACACATCATGGATCATCTAAATAGAACTCTTCTAGCTTACATACCAGGGAGGATCTGTCCTGATTTGTTGGAGACTGAGGGAGTTCCTGGGAATTGCCCCAACCAGAGTAGTGCTGACAAACATTATTTACCCAAATTCCAGGTCTGTTATGAAACCCTCCAAAGTTCATTTCTGTTTATGCAAAGCTGGTCTTCAATAGATTACTTTTCATTTAGAGTTGACCACACCCTTAATACAAAACAGTTTGTGATTTATTTTGGGTGATAGTCTACATATTTCTTGAGGGTAGAACCCATATGTCTTTATCTAATATATTTCCTAATAGCACAGTGCTAATGTTTAAAAAAGTGACTGCAAGAACTTTTAAAAAATTATATTTTTGTATTTTTTGAAGGGCATACATGTGCATTAACACATGTGCACACTTTGCTACACTCATATATGAGAGAAATGGAGAGAGAGAGAAATCTGCCTGCTGTTCCACTGCCCTAAACACCTGCAACAGTCAGTCAGAAGCCTGTAGCCTGGAACTCCATCCAGGCCTCCCATTTGGGTGGTAGGAGGCGACCACTTAAGCCTTCACCTGATGCCTCCCATGGTGTGCATTAGTGGAAAGTGTGTTTAATGTAGAGTGGAAACTCAAGCCCAGGCACTCCTGATATGAATCACTATGCCAGATGCCTGGCCCACCACTGTTGTTTTAAGCATTTGTCCAACTTTTTTCTTTAGGTTAAGTATAGCAATGAATGAAGTTTTGTAGTGATAACTGCTTCATTTTAAGACAGACTTGTTCAAATGTCTACCTTGTCACTTACTGACTATGTGATATTGGGAAGTTAATTAACCTCTGTGTGCCTCAGTTTCTTGGTTCTGTAAGGGGGATAAAAACAATTCGCATTAACTCCTCCTGGAGATATTGTAAGCATTAAACAAAATAATGGCTAAGTGTGTAGTATTTTGTCTAGAACATAGTACACAACTGGTTATTATGTGGTAGTTGCTAATAAATGATTACAAATCATTATTTTCTTCCATGCATTATTTGTTTCACAGAGTTGATGTTATCCCAGGCAAAAGCAATTATTAAATCCACTGATGATTATTCACAACCTCAGTTTGGGCCCAACAGACTTCTGCATTCAGCAGCAGTTTCAGAAAGGCCAGGACTCCAAGCTTGCTGCACACATCAAAGAGCATCAGATGAGAGCCATGATGAAATATCAGACCTTGATAGCTACAAATGAAACAGTGGAAGCAATTCTTGTGTTATGTCAGCATCCACAGGAAACAGACTGTCAGTGTTTGGGTGGGTCAACTGAGGTGATCCAAGCTGGTCTCTGTGTGACTATTGAAGCTTTTTCTTTTAGCAAAGTGTGTAATGATTCAGTTGACTATTTTAGATATTCAAATATGACATAGTTTCAAGGTTTTGTTTCTCTTTTTATTTTATTGCTCCTTTGAAAGTATCAGGGTAGATTGTTGCTAATTATACTGTGGAAAACACAAGGTCTGCTTAACGCTGGATAATCTGCAATTCTGAGAATATTTGAAGCAGAATCAGATTAGAACTATGAATATATTTTTATTTCAGGATACTTATTTAAAAGTAGAAATCTGATATGTTTTTGATATTTAACCAATATTTTGAGAGTCAAGATGAAATGAATTTATAATAAAAGTCATTTTGTATATAAATTTTCATATCCAGATGCTCAGAAACTGTACATCCAGCATGGACTGAAGAAAATTTTGCTGAAGAAAAACCAAGCAACTAACACTCCCATTGTTGTCAGCTGTTAAATATGTATCTATATTGTCTTTTTAATTTATCTATTAAGATGTTTCCTTTGCTTCCATGGCATTACAAACAAACATGATTGGTTAGACAATTTTGGATTGAAGACATTGACATTTCTCTATTGAAAAAATGATAAAGGGTGAAACATTTTTATTGAAGACTAAAAATCTGAAATCTTATTTCAAGTAATTTGATATGAAACAAAACATATAACTTTAGAACCCGAATTCTTATTATAACAATATATTTTTAGAAAAATCAAAGGCCTTAGATAAACATTAAAACTGTATTTTGCTGTTAAATGTTAGATTTAACTATATGTATATATGTATGTATGTGTATGTATATATTTGTATATGAGGTTACTTTAAGAAGTTCATGGAACTTAGTTAAAAGATAAATTAATTTTGAAGCAAAAATATTTTAAATATTTACAAATTTACTTCATAACATACATTTCCAAGAGTTTTTTTTTTTTTTAAAGATTTATTTTTATTATTTTTTCATTGGAAAGGCGGATATACAGAGAGGAGAGACAGAGAGGAAGATCTTCCGTCCGATGATTCACTCCCCAAGTGAGCGCAACGGGCCGATACTATGCCAATCCGAAGCCAGGAGCCTCTTCCGGGTCTCCCACACGGGTCTCCCACACGGGTGCAGGGTCCCAAAGCTTTGGGCCTTCCTTGGCTGCTTTCCCAGGCCACAGGCAGGGAGCTGGAAGGGAAGCGGGGCTGCCGGGATTAGAACCGGCGCCCATATGGGATCCCGGGCTTGCAAGGCGAGGACCTTTAACCACTGCGCCACCGTGCCGGGCCCAAGAGTTTTCTTAAGATCCCCTCGTGTGTGTGTGTGTGCAACTGTTTAACTCCCATTGTAAAATTTGTTAACATAATTATTGTACTATTTTATACTTAAAAGCATAAAATATGTTATGTGAGGAGTTCAGGTAAACTTGTTCTGTTTATTGTTTGACATTTAAACATTGACAATTTTACTTGATATAATGTTTTGCTAGGGAGTATTTGCATACATAGGAATAAGCACTAGGGTTTAAATTTGAAAAAAAAAACCTAGGGTAAAGTTTAGTTAAAAATGTTAGCTATAAATTAAAAATTAAAAGAGAAAGGAAGGAACGAGAAAGAGTGAACAAAGAAGGGGAGAAAAGGAGGGAAGTTTGCTTATCATGTTGGAACTGTACCTATGAAATACATCATATCTACTTTGTGTTAATAAAAATTTTAAAAATGTAAAGAATAAAGTGTCTGCTATTAACATGCATCAATTTTTTGTTTCTTTTTTTCTTTTTATCCCTGTTAGAGTTGCAGAGTTCTCATCTTTAGAATTTCATTGAACCCACAATTGGTGAAGATGGTCTCAAAGACACAAATGTCAACCAAGAGTGATTTAAAAGTAGCAGCTTATAAAAATGGATCTGAAACAGCCTTTTGCCAGTTACTGTACCAACCATCACCTTGGTAACTAGTCTTCAAAGTTTTCAGTGCTTTATTTTTTCTCTTATTCTCTTTATAATTTAAAAAATGAGAAAGATGACATTTTTGTGGTAAAATTATTTAGGTATCTGAATCTGTAAATTGCTTATGTAGACATAGATCTCAAGCATTTCACTCTTCTCCTTGTGAAAAACAGTTAATATATTGAACACTATATTAATTGAGCAGATTAGTTAATTAAAGATACAATGACCTCATATATTGTGAGTTTATTAACATGTCAGCTCATTTAAGGAATAAAATTAGGTAACAATTAGATATTCTTGCCGCCGTGATTTTGTTATATTTTAAAATTTTTTTTACAAATTTTCAACTCCTAGAATATACTCGTGCTGGGCAGTTGGGTTTATATTTTGGTCATTGTAGCCTCCTATTGTGTGTAAATGTGCTACTTTCTTTGTTGTAAATCAGTCTTACCTCTTGCTTTCTTGTAGTTGCTGGAAGAGTACATGGAAAAGCTGAATCTGAACATGGCTGCAAGATGAGTATTCCTGACAGGCAGCAAGGAAGCATTCAAATCTGAAGATACACCCCCTGAAGCTGGTGTTTAAGTTTCAATGGGAGAACCCTTTTTAGATCCATTCAAAAATATTCAAGGTAAAAAAGGAAAAAATAATACTCTACACACACACATACACCACATACAGACACACAGAGTAAATTGCTTAAGGGGTGCAATTAAAAAATGATTTTCATCCTGTCTTTTTTGCATGGTTTAACAAAACTAATGTTTACGCATTTACAGCTCAGTAAGAGGATAATGTGCTTAATGAAAGAAAAATCCACTGACAGCCACGTTTATTGCCCTTCATTAGCATTGGTGCTTAATTTAATATAGATCTGAATAGACATTAGGGAGCCTGCAGGAGGTTAAATGGTGAAAATATAATAAATTAAATCAGAGATTATTGAATTTACTGTTTAGTTTCTGTGACACTCAACAGACACAATTCATTAGGCTTATTCCCTCAGAAAACAGTTCAAAGTTTCAAGTATCATTTATTCACTTATACTCTTGGTCTTTTTTCAGATTGTATTAACATAATTATGAGCATCTAATTCTTATATACATGTAGTTCTCCTAATAACATTTTTTCATGAGGTAGATATGGCAGTTTGGATGCAAACATTTCAAGGCTAAAAAAAATCATACTAAAATTAAAATAATGTTTTCTTTCTTCACTAGGAAAGAATATATTTTAAAAAGGAATGTAGAAATGCCAATAAGAATTTTCTTCCAAGCATGTTCTACCTGGAACCTGTTAGCAAGTGCTATATGTGATAATCAGATTTAAACAATGCAAGAAATAAGGACTTTGCCATCAAAATCCAGGCTATCTAACTACTATACTCCTGTACGCTTTTTATACCTTATTAGAATTATTTTTTCTACAACTACTATAAAGCTAGGGAATCAAAGGCAAGTCTAGACAATAATTGCATAAATGGAAGAAAAGTAATTCTGGAGTTCATTACAGATGTGGTGATGAAATTCTCTCTTCTAATAATGTTACACACAGTGATACCGGGGTTTCTCTCTTTGGTAATGCTTTATCATCAAGAGATAGTAATTTCTTGAATTCACTAGAAAGCTCAAGATAATTTGATCTTTATAAAGAAATTTTGCTCTTTGGAAACTCTCATTCTAGTAGTGTACACCCATGTCATAGATTTCAAGTTGTACTTTAAAATATAGCTGACTTTGTTTTACATCATCCAAATCATTTAAGTATATAAAGATAAGAAGCTTAATGGGAAAATATTTCTATAACTTATGAAAATGTAGATATTTAGGCAATGATTGCTTCACTGGATCCTTGATTATCTTTATTAGTGAGAAATGCTCTTCTTTAGGGAGAAAAAAGTGCTCTTCTTTAGGGAGAGATACATAAAAATTATTTGTAGTGCAGCCAAGAAGAAAATCTCCTGCCTGAATATATTAAGAATAAAAATGACAGATCTTGGACTAAGCGTAAAAGTTGATTTTTATGTGTTAAAAACTAATTTACTCTTTTGTTTTTTCTGTTATTCTTTTTTAAAGCCAAAATCATAACAACAACAACAACAAAAACCACAAACATAACAACACTTCTTTGCTTTGTCTGCATATCTTTGGCTGTGTTTCACTGTGACATGCACTGCTGTTCTTTTAGCACCAAAATGTTGGCACACAGTCCTGAAAATTTCACACCATCTCTTGCTGGATCAGCAAGCTTAACCCACCAAAATCTGGTGTTGTGCAATGGTTTTTGACTGATAATCAATCTTTATGCTGCTCGACAGTTGTTGCTGGGACACAGAGTAGAGCAGGTGGCAGATGTGTCTTGTCTTTTGAGAAAAGAAATTGTAGGTGAGCTTGGACATAGGCTACAATATCGCATGTCCATTAAAAAGACATAGGATGAGAGTAGTGGTGGAACAGCACTCACTTAAGTTAACGTAGGTAAGACTAAACCCTGATATTTGATGTATTTCAGAATATTAAGAATATAACATCAATATACATACATGCATATATATATAAGGCAGTGTTTAACTTGATGTGGTGTATACAAACAAACATATGGACACACACACACATATATTTATTCAACATGATTTAGATGATTAAAGTACATGTTACATAGTGATATATAATATAATGCAACCCAGATTAAAGATTGTCTTCTTAGCATGTATTTTACAGAAAAGCCAGTAATTTTCCAACTTTCACAAATGTACCATGAAAAGAAAATATGTATGAAAAACTTGGAAGGTGGTAGTTGAACTTAGAGTAAAGAAGCATTATCCTAAATCCTAAATATCCTAAATCGAACATGCTACAGGTAAATAGATAGAAAACAATTGGAAGAATTCAGTGTTACTATCGTATCTTTCTAAATGAGTGTAGATATATTATATGCAATTAGCTAAAAGGCATTTGAATCAAGAGCTGGTAATTATTGCAATCTATTGAATCTAATTCATTCAACAAATATCGTTTTTGAGAGTCCACTCTATGTTCCTATTAGAAGTCACTAAAGAAGTAATTTTTGGTCTGATTTCACTATCATGATGATCTTTTCTTGTTTAAATTAAATGTATTTAATTTCAAATTAGAATATTTAAACTAGTGAGCGTTGATTGTATTGCAATTATGTATACATCTAGCCTGGGGAGAAGTATAGAATTTCTGGTCTTTAATAGCTTAAACTGAGTAAATACTTCAAAGTCTTGCAAACTGAGACCACTCTTTAATGATGTAGACCAAACTGGTTCTCCGAAAGAAAATTTATTTTATTTCTGGCACAAAAAAGCTGTATACATCCATGTATATTTTGGAAGGTATATTTTCATATTTCTCTGCTTTCCTCATTCTTTTGGAAAAGAGTTTAGATGCATAGTGGAAATTTTTCTAGGAATTCTTGCAGGATTTACCAAGACAAAAGAAAACAACATCTCTGATTTTTTTAGAACCATTTTACTATCCCTTGTGAGTATGATTGCTGAAAACAGTGGCACTGGATGAAATAGAAAGCCAGGGAACTATTCATCACATACCTTGGAACACAAAGCTTTCCGTGGAGGTCAGGCCAAGGTCAGCCCTGCCATGAAGCATTCCCTGTTGAAAAGCAATATTAGAATAATTCTTACATGAGGAAGTCGAACGCTTGGTCAGAAAGGCTAATTGTATTTGTAAAATATCAGAAAAATAGAAATAGTTTTAATAAAAAGTGTTTGATGAAGATGTTTGATTAATTCTTATGATTTTGGCATTTAAAGATTCTGACATTTTTAGATTATGCTGCTAGAATTGTGAAAGTGTAGTTAATGAGTTGTTTGAAAAGACATTTTAAAAGTTGTGAGCTTCACAGTCGTATCATTTAGATTTTATTCACAGTTTCCTGCATCTTCTGCTTAATGATGATACAGTGAAAAAGATTGAGTCAGATTCATGAGGTTTGTAAGCCTTCGGCTCGTTTTTAGCTGCTGGGCAATGCAAACAGCATAAGAAATAGAGTATGTACTGAGATTGTTTTAGTATCTTAATGAAGGTGAAAGAGAAAAACAGTTTATACCATCATCAGGTCCAGTTCTATTACACAGAGCTTCAATTTTCTTGAAATGTTTTTAGTCATATATCTTCACTTTTTTTCCCCTATATTTTATATTTTACTCTTTGCGTGTCAGAGTTATCATTCACAGTGATTCATTTCAGTCCTGAATTTTATTAACCAGGAATAAAACTGAGTGTTATAACTAAGATTTTTATACCTTTTAAGGTATTATATTCTGAAGATGTGGTCACAGAGAAGCCATTCAAAAAAGGAGTTCTTGATATTGTACCTAAGATCTAAATTTAAACCTAGAGATTTCCTGCTAACTGCCATATGATCTACAAAATGAAGTAATTTGCTGTGACAGCTTGTGACTGACAAGAATACATGTGAGCACATTTAAAATAGGCTATCTTTTCATGTAGAAGTAAATGTCAGTGAAATGATGGATTCTCATCGTTTTAATTATTGATGATTTAGAAATATTTCAATTCCATGACATGCAAGACACATTCTAAATAGCAGCATAACACTTTTCCTCATATGTGCATCATAATGAAAGGTTCTGTCATATTTTGTTTTTCAAAAATGCATTAATTTAATGAACCTGGATTCACATATTGTTTAATGATGTGTCTTCTGAACTTAACTTTTTTTAAAAAGCTATGTGAAAATCACTAACTTCCAGGAGTGACCCACTATTGATATCACACTACATTTTATAGTTTCTCCTGCTGGATGTCAAGACTAAATGCTGTCATGCTGCCTAAACCAAAGACCTGCTGAAGATGATACTGGGCTTTATGATTCTATCCTCCAGGGAAATGCTATTTACTTCAGACAGACTCTCGGGTTTGTGTTGATTTTGTTACTCTTCCTTTTTATTATCTTATTTGAATAACATTTGTTGAAGAATTTATTAATCCAACTTATTTCCCATTTTCCTCTCAGACAAATGTGAGGGTGAAACTAAAGACATACATTTTACATATTTTGCTGTTCCAAAAGTTTTCTATTTGTAAATAAGAATCTAGAATACGCTTACTCTATAAATTAATGGGAATCTGGAGATAATTGCAGAAGACAAATAGCTAAATAAGAAACGCCCCTAACTGCTTGAACAACAGAACATGCAACCAACCACCTCCCCTCTTTAGCTGTCAAATGTTAAATCATTGAGAGAAATCTAATTTTCACAACTCATGAAACTACAATTTAAATAGTTTTTTTAAAAGATTTATTTGTTTTATTGGAAAGTCAGATATACTGAGAAGAGGAGAGACAAAAAAGAAGATCTGTCCGCTGGATCACTCCCCAAGTGGCCCCAATGGCCCATGCTGAGCAGATCTAAAGCCAGGAACTAGGAGCTTCCTCCGGGTCTCCCACGTGGGTGCAGGGTCCCAAGGTTTTGAGCCATCCTCAACTGCCTTCTCAGGGAGATGGATGGCAAGTGGGGCCTCCAGGATTAGAACCAGAGCCTATACAGGATCCTGGCACATGCAAGGAAATTTAAAACAAACCCAACAAACACTACTCACTAATTTACCTAGTATTTTTCTG